ACCTTGCATGGCAGCTCTGTCGCCATTGGTGTATGAATGTGTGTGTGAACGGGTAAATTAGAAACACATTGTAAAGCTCTTTGGATAAAAGCGCTATAAAAGTGTAGACCATTTACCATTTACTTTGCACACGATCCTAAGTATAATCCAAAGTGACGTTTCAGCAATAGAATTTGTTTTTCTACGGTAAAATAGTAACGCCAGTGAAAATGCAGAAAAATTTCTCCAACTTGGAAATCCCTCATGAGACGCAGAAGGACAATACCTTTCTGGCAACTGCCAGAGGCCGCATTCAAAGCCGATTTTCTGGCCCACACACTCGTGTGGTGCACATTTGTCACCGTTACCAGAACATTCCCAGATGCTGCACTGTCTGGCTTCCTCGGCCCTCTGGGTATTGACCGTTGGAGCATTTCATATCGCATCCTTACTTTGAGCTTCACGTGTTCACATCACTGGACAAAAACACATGAAGTATTTACAACCACAGGCAGAGCAGTGAGGTCATTTTAAATTTTTTATTTTTTTTTAATTGGCAGAGCAAAGTCAAGTCTGTTTGTATGGAGAAAGCGTGTTTCATTAGAGCAGCTAAATTAATGTTTTTGACAGACGTGGGACTGGAGGTCTGAACCCACCTGTTCTCACACCTGCAGGTTTTGTGCTGCCTGCTTGCTTCAGAGCTTACAATTTGTTTCTGCCAGTTACCCATGTGTCCTTTGGGTAAGAAATCCTGGAGATCTTAACGATTCTGTTCCTGTTCATCACGCTTGGTTCTAAACCAATTCATGGAACATTTTGTGATATTCTTTGTCTTCCAAATCCTCCGTTGAAGTTCTCAGTTATGGTCTCGCTCCTTTCTCATGAGAAACATAGATTTCAAACAGCCGTGTGTTTAAGAACTAATTTAATTTCAAATTTTTGTGCATAAATCCACCAATGGTAGGTAGTGGGAACCAAATGTTGCTTCATCTGAAGAACACTTGCAAGGCTGCAACTGATGTGCAACTCTCTGTTTTTAAAGGTTTAATGTTTTAGTGTGTAAATATTGAGAGAAATCTGTGAAAATGTTCTTTTTCCCCCTATTTCGAGACATGTCGGGATCCTAAATCTGGGCCCTGTACGCGAATCCCTCACGGTTTAGCTACATTTTTTTTTTGCCAATAATGCAAACGTCAGGCGTCCTGAGGCCAAGAAACTACTTTAAATGATGTTTAAAAGTTAGATCAGAATTACTCAGATGAGAAACTTTGTTGGCAAGTGGCCATGGCATAAGCAGGATAATACCCTCCGAGTTGAGGTTGAGCATCTGCGTCATCCAGCACATCCATCGAATACACAATTTGGATGATAATATTTCTTTTACCATTCAAGCTGCGTGCGTGTTTACTTACTCGCTTGCAGGTTTCGTAATCTCGCTCTTATTGGGCTTTGATAGTGTCGTCGCACCTCTTGTAGGTTTCACTGATATAGGTTTGAGCTCAGCATAAGTCTGTCTGTATCGCTCAGCACGAAGCGGCAACAGTGCGAATATTATTAACCGAATCTGTCAGCAAAACTGTTGTGTGTGTGACTTACACCTGTGGCTGAGCCTCAGGCAGCCAGTGAGTCGGTTGTCACTATTTGGCACTATGGCTACTCAAACACACACACACACACTGTAGGCAGTTCATTGGCACACGTACCTTGGTTTTTGACTCGCTGTCAATCTTATCCTTCCATCTCTTCCTCAGCTAAAGCAGTTGTCATACCTGCGATGATGCCTGAGAGCACAGAGGAGACAGGAGTCATTTTGAAGCACACACAGCACGAACACATGACTTGGACATAGTCACACACACGACCTTAATATCACTGACATGGACGTCCCTAGAATAGCCAGAAGGAGCTTTTTGTGTCACCTACACAGGCGGTGAGATACAGATATAGAGCGTGTTCCATCATTCCGCTGTCAGACTCCACCAGCGTAGAAAGGCTGCGAAACACTTTCTGACATTGCCTTTTGTGGTTCGACCTTTTTGTGTGTAGTCAGAAAAGTCGGTCCCTCTCCAGGGTTACTGATAGATGCGGTAAAATGTATGTTAGTTGTCGTTATTTTCTCTTTTTTTTTTACTTAGCTTCATGTCTTCAGCTTCAACAAACCCCCAATTGAACCCGAAACTCAGGTGTTAATGGCTCCTTAAGGATATAAGTATCTGGAACTCCCAACTAGTCAGTCAGAACTGATGAAGCCTCTTGGATGAAACGTCTTCAAGGAACTCAAACAAGTCCAGCTGCTACGATTAATCTACAAGAATAACCATGACCTGGATGACTGAGAATCTTCACAGACAGCTTCATATTCCAATACAGTTGAGTTGGGTTTGTCCGTGCAGGGTAAAATGTTGAAGCTGTGATGATAAAGTACCACATTATTGAGCTTTCACATCCACTCAGCGTGTAGTAGGTGTAGGCTGGTCAGCTGAAAGAGTGAGACTGAATGAGTCAGACTTTTTACGCAGCTGCGTTCGTGACCTAATACGGTGTTGCCTGATCAGAAATATTGCCTGTTTGAAGGCTGTATTTTTAGTTTCTATTCTCACACTAGTTTGAGAGTAACTCTGTTTACTTCTGTTTCTTTTCTATCAGCTCCCGTTGTGACTCGCAGGGTCTTTTACCTGGTGTCGACACCATTAAGCGGAAAAAAAAAAAACTTCAAGTCCCAGTGAGCGCGCTGACATTTGCTCCCAGTGCTGTAGCTAAAAGGCTACACAGGAGTGCAACAGAGGTAGCATGAATGCCCGTCCATTCATCTAAACCTGACAGCCTGTCTGAAGCACCTTTTTGATCTAGTAAAAAAAAAAAAGAAAACCAAGCAAACTGTGTGGGAGAAGCACCTGAAATGATCCCACCTGAAAGGAACTCATATTTACATGACATAAAAATATCAAGTTATCACATAAACATACTAGTGTGTATGTAAACGTGCTAAAAATGAAGCAACAGAAGCAATATTCTCGCTGCCTATTTTACAAGGCCCTCAAAAGGGTAAAAGCAAAAGTCATCTTGTTGAAACATTATGGAACATTTGGATTCGTTGGGCTCATATTCGGTCCGTGGATTTCCCGTGCGAAATGATGAACAGGGTTCCTGACAGCTGTGTGAAGTTCTGGAGGAGGAGACAGGTTTTTGTGCGGATGAGTCACGTCTGACCTTTGACTGACGGACAAATACCCCTGTCAGCCTGCCTGTCCATCTGCCTTTCTGTTGTTTTCTTTCACTTTGCCAGTGCACTAATAATAAACAGTACCAGCTGTAGACTCCCCAGCTGAAGCGGACATTCTGTGTTTGACTGTGCACCACAGTCCTGTACTGTGTTTGGAGCTCGAGGCAGTAATCTTACGCTCACCTCCACGGATGCCTCCAGTGACTAATGCTGACTGTATAGATTAAGATGTCAGAGGTAATGCAGAAGATTGAGCAAGTCTAAACTCTACACACTCAAACATACAGTATTTGCCTACTGCACTGTGCTGAACAAGGTTTTTTTTAGTTTCATTTATTGCCTTGAAGAATGCACCAAAAAGCAGCAGCGTACTGTGTAATCCCTTGTGTGAGTGTGCCAGCAGATAATCGCCTGTAATGTCATTATTACGTTGTTATCTGCGTGTCAGAATGCTGGTGCCAGGCTGTCGTTTGCGACCTGATTGCGGTGCGAATGTGCCCGCGGCCTGTCCACTGGCACTGCCACACCTGCACTATCATGTCGGACCCGTCCCGTATGTCGCTGCCTCCCTAAAAGCTTGTAGAAAATCAGATTGGACCCGCCGCCTTTTGTTTGCTTTTAAAAGTAATTGAATGCTGGTTTATTCTCCTTGCACGCTCTGCTGCCTCTGAGCAGTTGAACCCAGGAGTGTCTAAGTGCTGTCCTGTGCTTTTAGGATGATGAGAAATCAAGTCCAAATGGCATTTAGCTTAATGTTGTTAGTGACAGCAATATACATGCTAAGTCCTGCTTCTTAACAAAAGAAAGAAAAAAAGCTGCTGTGCTTCTTTGCACAAGCAACTCTGTCCTCCTTTTCCTTCATGCCCATGCACACAGACACTCACTCGCATGTTGTTTGCCATCACCAAGTCCTGAGTCATGCTGTTGTTTAGTATCTTCTGGCTAGTGGCCCAGACTTTGGTCTCTGGCTCCCTGCGGATATTTGACAAGAAGCCAACAAGGGTGTCATCCCCGGTCCTTTATCCTTTCATCGCTCCCTTCCTTCATCCCTCCATCCCCTCATTTCTGTCGAGGCGATCCTTTAGACACAATTTCTGCCTCCAACACAAAAAGGGCAGATGCTGAGGGATGCAATGGAAAAGCTGAAAAACAGTTTCCGTCCAACATGCCGTGTCTCAAATTAAGGCCGTGCAGCGTTGAGGATTTTATTTCACCACCACAGATTTTCAGTTTCTAACTAGGTTACTGCCTTTACGTCGTCACTCATTTCTCTTTTTTTGCTCCTCACATGTGTTTATCGAAATAGATACACACACCCATTCTTCATTTTGTTCCCTTTTTATTTCCTCACGGTTTTATCTCTTTGGTTGTGTTTTGAGCCCGTTTCATGTGTAAAGGATCACTCCACCGTGGCCTTCAATTTCCTGTATAATAACACCACTATCTCAGCCTCTCTCCTGCGGTGATGCTGAAATGTGCAAAGCCAGGGTGTGGGCCACATTAGTCTTGGAGTCGGATACGCCTCATAGTGGGACAGCGATATTTTGGCTCTTTTTTTTTCTTCCCTCAGAGCACAAATTATGCAACAGCATACATAAGCTTCTGATAAAAAGGAATTCCGGCATCAGCCATAAGCAACGACAGCCGAGGTTTCATCATTCGAATAGCTGACCCAGTCGTTTTATAGCGGATTCTTAACTACTTCGATTGGAGACGCTGATTACGACATGGATGAGGAGTACAGAGGAGTGTTTCATTTCAAGCACAACTCACATCCTCTCTTCTTCTTCTCCTCCAGGTACAAGTTGATTCGCAGACGAGTCATCTGGCTAATAGGACAGTGGATCTCCGTCAAGTTCAAATCGGACCTTCGACCTTTACTCTACGAGGTCATCCTGAGCCTCATGCAGGATCCAGACTTGGTGGTAAGGCAGCTTAATTTAAACTGCTTGTTATGACTGCAGCTCCAGGTTCCCCCCCTCGAAAACGTTGAACTCGTAACGACTAAAATGGGCCGTTAGCGAAAGTGCACAGTCAGCTACACAAACACAGTTTTCTGCTCAACAGCGTGGAACCGCGGCTATTATGCTGCCGACTTCCCACAAACAAAGCCAGACATCGTCGGCCAGCAGGGATTGTGACAAGATGTTGTCGTCCAGTTTGTTTGTTTTTTTAACTTTTATATTTTCTTTAATATTTCTCACATAAAGATAACTTAATGTTTTTTGATTACCAAGCTAAATCGTCTATTTACCCATTACCGTTTTTATTCAGCTGTGGCCCGGTTAAACCCCTGATCCTCTTCTAGGATAAGTGGCTATTATTGTGCTGCAATCATCCTCAATTCAAATTATGTTGAGCCATTGTTAGATTTGCTGCCTCATGAGCCGAGCACTTGATTGATGTGTTTTCTCGTAACTGGATTTATATGAAATAATGTGGAAGATTCTATTTGTTATTTACAGTGTGAATCAAGGAAATCCTACCATGAGTAATCCACACTTGTGAATCACTGCATTCAAACTCTAATTGCTGCTTCGTTATCCACAGAAGAACTTTAAGATCTATGCTTTGTTTGCATTCCTCATTCAATACACTATCCTGTTCATTAAGATTATAATGTAATTAAGACAATAATACACATAAGTCAGAGCCCCCACACACACATGCTCTAAAAATATTAGCGTAAAGCATAATCTCAGTAATATTTGTAGCAGCTCTCTGATATTAATTGCAATAATGTCACATATGATGCATCATCCATTGTGGGTGCTTTCGTTAAATTTAGTTTACAGGAGCACACAGGGTGACATTAAGGTTGTAAAATAGTATAGATGGCATGTTGTCACAGTCTGCCATGAAACATGACATTATTTGGGATCTACATGGTAAATTATTTGGCAGGCAGCTCCGAACTTGTATGTAATGTACAGTCGTGACTCGATAATCTGACCCTTAACGATCCGAAAAC